AAGTTCAGGAACTTTACGGAACCTATTTTCATGTTGCACTCGACCATAGCTACAATCTGCAATAGGTTTTGTTTCGGGTGTATTTCATAAATTTTTTTTGTAGCTCCGTGTTATCAGATCCATTCTACGCTGGCAACACAATTGTTGTAACCGGTAAATAAAGTTTCTGTGAATTTTTAACCTTTTCGCTCTCTGTGCACTCCTATAAGGTGTGGTAACAAAATATTGCCCCGTGAAATATGCAATACCAGAATTTCTGTAAAACTTCATAGCTGAATTGCTGAATATATTGATAGTGTTACCAACGTACCTAGAATTGGGGTTACAAGAAGTAGTAACAATTTTTCATAATACGAATTTCCCATTACAAAATAAATCGGTGACGCGCAGAATAGACAATTTGACAATCGCTGCGCTAAATTTTGGTCGCAAAATTGTCTAAGTGAAAAGCAAAGTGTGTAATCAGCCAAATCTGGCAGTACACATTTGGTATGTAACTAGATGTTGTATGTTGTTAGGAAAGGTAACACGCCCATCTGCGGTGTGGATACTGTAGCCTCTGGTCCAACCCCGTCGAAACGGCGATGAAACGATAAAACGATTGTGCTTAACCATAGTCGTATTTTTTAGTAAAACAAGGAATCCATGCGTTTGGGGGAATTCGCCTTGAAGTTGATATGAACCTTAAATAAATACAATAAAGAAGTATAATTTTTATGAATTAAAGAAGCAACTTTAGAAGAACTCATCAAAAAAAAAAAAGACCTGCCAAAGCCCATCGGGAAGCGGTTCTATGGGTAGCGAAGCAGAGCCCTTCAATTTGTGCCACTCCATACAAAAAAATGAAAGAGAAAGGAATGACTCTCAAGCCGCTACAACAACAACGCTCAAGAATGCTTTAGGAACGGTTTTTAGCTCCTATCTACTTGTCCTAGCATGTTTATGAGTGCCATTACATTAGTCACGAATTGAAAGCTTTATCTTTGCTTCAATTTTAATCGTATATTGTCTTCAAATTAATATTTCCTGGTTAATGGCTGAGAAAAAAAATGATGACAATGTGATTCCTTAAAGGGATTCAGTATTCCCTAAATGTTTAGAGATATATTTATTAACTTAACTTTATCATATTATTTAATACTTTTGAATAAATAACGAACCGCAACAAGCATTTATTGGATTTTTAAATTGGACATTGCTACAGAATTGAAATGGACTATTTTTGAGGGTCACTGTATGCTCGCACGTGCATTCAAATGTCCGCTTCACAATTGTTTCCCTGCATTTTATTTGTGTCCTTTTCGTATTGTTTGTTTTTTTTTTTTCCTTGTAAGGACATCCTTAATCGAATCGATACACTTGTAATTGAAATTGTGAACTGCCAAGCAGGCTCAAATCTACTTTTTAGACTCGGGGCTTACCCTTCCATTTCCCACACCGTATCTCATTCGCTAAACATTCTCATTGCAACACGTCGAGTATCATTCATAATTTTGCTTTTTTTTTTTGCCTACTTTTTGTAAGCATCTATAATTAACCGCACTCTGTGAGTGGACTGACTGGCGGCTGGCTGCCCATAAAAGATATCTATGCACTGCACTCTGTAGGCACAAAGTGAGAATGAACATTTCACATTTTTATTACGGTTACGGCGAGTACAACGCAGTATCTTTCGGGCGCTGCTGTTGATTGTTTTTTGGGTACATATTTCGTTCTTAGGACAGACAGACAACGCAGTATTTCTTATTAAACCTTAATGTGAATTTTACCTCATCCACCAAGTGATTCGCATGAGTTTACATAATGCCAAGCGCGAATGTGCGGCTACAGTAAGGGCAAATTGCGTGTAAGTGTTGTAATACAGACATATTATTGCAAAAAGTCAAAAGGAAGGAAATGGAGAGAGTGAAATGAATTAGAATACAAAAAAAAAAAAAACATGTCGGCACTCTTTGGAACCGTGCCTGGCACATGCATATAACACATATGTGTACATATATACATATTCATACAATGCTTCTTGAGCAGTGGACTGTGTTCGTTGACTGCAAAAGTTCATTTGATTTACAGAGTCAGTGTTTGAAATCAAGACGCTCGCGAGTCGCGACATTGGAGTAGGCGCTCATTAGGCATTGGCTTTGGTAGACCGCAAGTTCAAGGTCGCGCTCATCCAACTATGTTTAACTTGCATACAGAAGGTTTGAGCGCAGGCTTGCCATTGCTAGCTAGCCAAGTTTAATTAAACGCACGCTACGCGTCATAAGCGAACTAAGCGGTAAGTCGAAGATGAATTGGTAAAGTAGGCAATCAGAAGTGGTTTGAAGGCAAAGTAAGCACACAGCTGACACACAAGCGACGGCATTTTAACCGCTTCGTCTATCGAAATTGTCTTTAATTTTTTAATTCCTATATCACACGCTTATGGGCACCGGTGACTGCGTATGCAATAGGAAGATCTTTTTATTTTTATTTCAAACTGCAAATGCCTGTATTGATATATATACATACATATGTATGTGCATGTGCATATATACTAGGGATGCCAAAATATGTGGAAAATTGTGATCCCGGGATTCACATTGAGACATAACTTTTATGAATATGAGTAAAAATTCAATAACTGAAATAAAACTATTTAAAATTTACGATAAACTGATTGTAAAACTCACATATTTATGAATACAGACAAATCTTAAAGTAATACAATTTTTAAAATGTATTTAAAAAACCATGTGAGTGAAGAACGCATACACTGGCGATCAAAAGTGTATGTGTGTATGCGTGGTGTTTTTTGTCAAATATTTGCAATGTTTTTCAAGTTTCAATTTTTTTCTTTTTTTTAATAAAAATATAGTTTCTGCTTTAATCAAAACTACATAAGTCAAACTTTCAAACTTCATACAGAATTAAGAAAAATTCGTATCTAAATTTTGAGCTTTTTAATCTGAATTTTTAGAAAATTTTTTGGTATGCAGGTATATCGGTTGTGTAATAAAAAAAAATAAAAAGAATTAAAAGAAAATCTAAAAAATTTAAAAATTAATACATAAATTAATCACCAAAAATTTTTCTTTACTAAAATTACAATTATCTCCGAAGGTATTAGTCCTACATAATTTGGTATCATAAGCCTTATTTGTAAAGTATTAAATTTACGATCGAAGTAAGCTAAGTAATTTTTTTTGAACACATTTAACTTTAATGGACTTGGGCGAGCCTAAAATTTTTTTCAGAGCATAATGAATCATATTTTTGCTATTAGAAATAGAAGCACAAAAAATCGGATTTTCGGCCCATGCTACTGCATACCCAAAAATTCAGATTAAAAGTTTTAAAATTTAGATACAAATAGTAATGATTAATAAAAAAAAAAGTTAAACAAAAAATACAAAAACATGTTTATTCTACTCCATAATGAAATGTCGATTTTTTGCCATTTTTTTCGCAATTAACTCAATATTTTGATGGTGTACGAGTCAAACGGACCTCAGATACGGATTCAGCGGGTTGAAATACATGTTAGTTAGAGTGGTCCAATTTTTGTATGGGAAAAACGGGGCACCCCCTTAGTTTTTTTCCTTTTCATATTTGTAATATCTATACCAACTCGTCAATTTTCTACTGCCACCAATACAGGTTGCTCAATGACCTTAAAATGCGCTACTGGATCGCTGTAAAACTGGTAAAAATATTGGCGATTTTTATAAAAAGCTCCTGTTGCCATGACAACTGAAGCTTGGGATAATTTTTGGATAATTTAAATTTGAAATGTTCTTAGGTTCATTAACCAATTGTTTGATTAATATATGTACACACTACTTCTAGTGTAAAATCTGAGCATAATCTAATTTTCTACTTAGAAACGTAAAGTTTGGTACCAGCACCTTTTTCGACAAGAGGAAAACTTTTGGAAGGTGCCCCAAACCACCATCCATCAACGTTGTCAATTTCAGCTAATATTGGTAGGTGGGTCTGGTTTAAAGCACACACCCCTTTTTTGCCGGTTTATTATTGCACTTAATGCAAATAAAAACATCTTTCGGTCTCAACACTTTTAGGCTGAACTGTCAAAAGATAGTCATAAGCCATTTGAAGATAATGAACTTCTTTTACAAGCACGTCGGATAAATTATAAGTTTTTCGATTTGAGAAAGTTGGATTAGATTGATTTAAAAAATTATGTAACTTTTCTTTAAAACTTTCTGTTTCGTTTACATTAGCGACGCGATGAGTACATTAATTTAAATCTTCTTCAAAAAAGGCTCAGGCTGCAATTTTAAAAGTACAGTTTCAAGCTTTTTGTTAATTGTGGTCAAAACGACATTTTACTAAAATCATAATTCAAATTCTTAAACAAGTTCTTACTATCAATTCGATATTTAAAATTTTTCGGATCACGGGATTAATGAAAGCAATTCCAGGGATTTTCGGGACGCCAAAAACACCGGGATCCCGGGATTGGCATCCCTAATA